ATAATAATTAATTATTTAGTTAGAACTCAATAATTATCTTAATTATATTTTAGATTTTTTATATTTTAAAATTAGATGTTTATTCTTTATTTGATTATGTTTATCCGCAGTTAATTACACGAATTCAAACATGGAGTTTTAATAAGTTGTACTTATGCATAATTTACTTTTAATTTTGAATTTTAAGTAATATGCATTAATATACAATATTTCATGTATAAAAATGATTTTTAAGAGTTTTTATCAAATGTTTTATAATATAGTATAAATAACCATTCAAAAGCATCTTCGACCCTTTTTCTATAATTTCTACAAAATGAAGAAGAAAAAACAATCAAAATATTCGAAAAAATTGTATTCAGCTCCAAATGTTTTTTTATTTTAGAAATTCCAATATTAATTATTTTAGTAAAATATTCAATACGTTATTATCCAACAAAAATTTTAAATTTTAACCGGTGTGAATAATAAAATATTATTTCTTTCTCTTAACTTAACGTTCAATTTTGGGGATTTTCCAAATTTGGAAATATTTATAGCCTTTTTCTTAATTTTTTCAAAAATGGAAAAAAATTTGGGGGTTTGTAAGAGGAAAAAATAAAAGAAAAACTATATTTTATTTATTTTTAATGAATCTGTTAAAGATGTTCTTTGCTAAATCCTCTAGTCAATTGACCGCATGTTAAGCATTTGAAGCTACAATAAAGAGACCGTTTGACAGTTATTGATTGTTTGGTACAAAATAATTAAGTGACCAGAATGATCAAAAGACTCTTATAATATACTACAAAATAAAATATAATTGTTTCATCTAAAAGAAGTTAAATATGTCAGATATTTTATAATTTAATACATTTTTTAAAAGGTCTCTAAAATAATACTACATCATAATAATTTCCATTTTTACGGTTTTAATTATAGGTTTCATTTAAAAAAGTAAATTTTGATTAATAATTACATTTATTTGTTTTAATATTTAAGGCAATGATAGATTTATCTATTTTTCTGTAAATTACAGAATTTAATAATTACTGTAATATAAAAATAAATAAAAAATTATTTATAATCAAATCATTTTCAATTTCAATTATTTGTGATCGATATTTTTCTACCATCATTTACTATAGAAATTCAAAATTAAGACGAACATCTCCAACATCTTTTTTAAAATAAATAAAAAATAAAGAAAATGAGGATTTTGAGCTAACATTTTAGCTCAAGAGATTCCTCAAAACAATCTTCAAAACAAAACAAAAAAGGTAAAAGAAAGAAGGGTTTTTTCTCCAAATATGGAGAACAACTTGAAAATAATTATCAAGTGAGATCACCAAGAAAAGATATTGAAATTAAATATTTAGAGAGATGAATGAAAATCTTTTAATATTATAATCAATGTTGGATTTTCTAAAATGTATTTTTTTTAAAGATTTTGATTTTTTATATTAAAAAATATTTTAAGAATCTGTTAAAATGCTATTATGATTTATGACCACTCAATTGATGACACAACAAAGGAATATTTTGATGGTTGTATGTCACTTTTTTATCAGGCTTCGGGTTATTTACCAAACATTTATCCGGTAAGTGTTTATCGACAAAAATTAATAATATCATTTACTTATCGGATAAGATTTTAGTTCATTAAAACGACATCGTATGCAACAATTTACCCGGTAAGCACTTATCGTGGTAAGAGTCATTGTTCTCACTTATCGGGTAAGACTCTTGGTTCTTGTCTTGCTTTTACCGGGTAAGATTTTTGGTCCTTACCATATTCATCCGATAATATAATGTGATTTAGTAAACGCTTACTCAGGTAAGCATTTGGTAAACGGCCATTTCCTTTTATTTTAAGGGGTTTTAAAAACTTGAATGAAAGAATGAAAATCTTTGGCATGATTTTGTGATTTTTCAAACTGTTTTAGAAAAAGTATCTGTAACAATTTCTTTTAAATAGAGAAATTTCTAAAACTTGATGTTAGGAGAGTTGTTATTTTTTTTTTCCAATTATATCAATGAGATTGAGTTATTATTATTTTATATAAATTTTTAGAAAAAAAATATATTGATATAATAAAATTATAGAATATTTTAGTAATATAATTAATGTTGAAATCTTTATAAAAGAGAAACCGTTTAGATTTAACATAACTTTTTATAGAGATTATAATTTTTTATTATCTATTTTAAAAAATTATAGAAAATCTGATGAAGATTTGTTAATACTGTATTTAAAAATATTAATATTTTAAAAAAATTTATTCAGATTTTAAAAATTAATTTTGTTTTGAGAAATTAATTAAAATAGTCATTTTGGTCCGTTGGTTTGACTTCTTTAGCCAATTCTCTTTAATAATTATCTATACTATATTATAAAGCATTTGACAAAAACTTTAAAAAAACTATTTTTTATGAATGAAGTATTGTTTATTGATACATATTACTTAAAATTTAAGATTATAAGTAAATTATGCTAAGTACAACTTATTAAAGCTTCATTTTTGAATTCGTGTAACTAACTACAGATAAATATAATCAAATCGAAGATAAACATCTCATTTTAAATATAAAAAATCTAAAAATAAATACTTGATTATTATCTTTATAAAAAATATTTTATTAAATAAAAAATGAATTAAAAAAATACGCAAAAAAACAAAATAGTTAGTTTTGTACTAATATCGAATTTTTTTCAATTTTTTATGATATCTTCATATTTATATTTTTTTTTTCAAAAATAAAAACATTATTGTTTTCTTAAAATCACATAAAATCATATTATAACATCAATTGAGACAAAAAAACAAAACATTAAAATCGAGATGTATCTTGTTGTATTATATAAGTATTTTTATGGTATCAATTAAATTATAAAAGAAGTAATATTTGTATAATTCTTAAAATATATTAAGAGATAAAATCATGCGTCAAAATAATTATTTTAATTAATTTCCTTTTTATTTTTACGCAAGCAGAGATGCGTGAAAGGTCCAAAAGACAAATTTAAATAAAATACGGCCGCATCCCATCTTGAATCTTCTATTTTTCCCCGTTAAATCTCAGCCGTCCATTCTCCATACTGTCTCGTGTCAAACCCCAGTATATATAACCCCATTTTCCTCCTTTCGCCGCTCCATATTCTTCTCTTCCGATCATACCCACACACACTCTATATCTCCTCCGCCTTCGAACGCCGAGGTACACTCCGATCTCTATGCCGATTTACATGTTTCAGTAGTAGCCTTGTTAGATTCATCATTGGAATGTTAGGTGCTTAAAATTTTGGTGCAATTTTCTGAATTTTACTCTACACTTGTTCTACGGAATTCGTATCTACGTTGTTACTTTTACATTTATAGCGAGACTGATTTGCACGATCATGATCCAATTGCATTGTTTTTTATTAGCTATTGAGTTATAAGAATTCTCGAACATAAAATTGATCGTCTTGCAATTATCATTAATAGTATGTGTGTGATTGGGATTCTAAGAGTTGTGTATATATATATCCGCCATGATCGATGTATGTGTACATATGTTTGTGTGAGTTTGATTTTCTTTTGATCCACTGTGGTATGATCGGGTCTTAGTTTATTTAGTTTGCTCATTTGTTCAAAGGTGCTGGCTCGAATATGTTTTTCAACACATCCAAATGCGCAGGGGCATTTTGTTCATTGAAAAGTCATAAAGCTTGTGTTTAATCAAGTCCTTTGTATATTGTTGTATTTTTTATGGGACTTGAAATTTTATTGCATAAAGAAATTTTACAAACGTCTGAAACAATCAATTCCAAACAAAATCACAATGTTTGACCAAATTATTATTTAATACCACTTATAAAGTTATAATATTTTAGTTTTCATTATTTTACTGTCATTATCATCACTTAATTTTTTTATTATCGTTTTCTTCTTCTTATTATTTTTATTTAATTTTACTTTTGCTTTCATATATAAATATTCACACGTTTTGATTTGTTTTACTTATCTTTTTCGCAAAGCCGGGGGATTGAAAAAGCCCCTCTCTCTATCATTGGACGAGATATGGGTTTGTTTATTTAATTTATATGTATAGAGGAAAGTTTTAAAGTGAAGTCAAATTAAACCCATCGAAGAAATTATCGAAATCATTAAATTGAGATGATTTAACTTATTTTATTGAAAGGTGGTTGCAATTTTAATTTTTTTTAAATCAAAAAATATATCTTGTATTTTTTTAATCTACATCCGTGAAGTATAATTAAAATTGAATTCAAACAAATTATACAAAATATTATTTTATTTTATATAGTTTGGTATCTATATTGACATGTTTTTTATGTGTTTTATTGTAGTTTTTCGATTCTTTTGCTTTGGGTTCCCTTTGAATCACAATTTAATATTATTATTTTTAATACATTTAAGTAATATAAGCAATTTGGAAAATCACTAGTATCTACTTTCATTTTCAACAATTCATATGCATACCCAAAATGAAATTAAATAGGAACTCAATTGTAATTTCAATTCATTTTCCAATGTCATCCAGACATGGGTGTTGATCACTTTTTATTACATCTGGAATAAATTCCGTTTGGCCATTTTATTATATTCTTTATAAGAGAATTCCACCAGACACTTTTATCCTTGGATCTTAGCTTTTTATCTTTTACCTGGTTGTGAAGCATTAGCACACTGATCAATTGAATGTATGTTTCGTTTTTTATTTTGAAACTGCCAAAATGAATACCCATGCATCAATTGGGATCTTTCAAAAAAAAAAATTCAAAATTTATTGGGCGTTCTTTTAATCACGATTGTTTCTCTGTTTGCACAAATAATTTCTATCACTATCTCTAGTTAAAGCTGTTTAATTTGTGTTCACTTTCATGATAGAAACTAAATATTCTTTACTCTTAGGGTCTTGCCATCTTTTAGCAAGTAATGGAGTTGCGGTTTTGCATTATGCTGCACATGTGGTCCTCGTTTGCATAGCTTATTTGTCACTGAAGCATGTTGTCTCTTTTCATTGTTTCTTCCTATAGGTAGTTTTTTTGCTCAAATGAGCTTAAATACATGCACACAATCACATGGATCCAAGTTGGCGGTTAACTATTTTCTACTATTAAGTTCTTACTAATGCTATGTGGGCGATGCATGTATCTGATTGATCTTTGAAAACTAGTTTCTTGACATGGATTAATGAAACAGACTTGGTGTTTTGTTGTCACTAATCCTATATGCCTCATCTGTAGGAATTTTGTTTTGAACGCTAATGGCTGATCAGAACCAACATCCAGCCATGACTAGTAAAGTAGCTGGCCAGCTACACCTTTACCAAGATGCTAGAACTCGTTATGGTGCCTTTCAGAGGCCTGCTGCAAGTCAGAGACAATTTGGATATGGGAATTATTCAAATGCAGGGTTGCATTATCCAGTAACACAGTCATTGGTTGCTGCAAATGCTTCTCCAGTTTTTGTTCAGGCTCCAGCAGAGAAAGGTTTGGCTGGGTTTGCCATTGATTTTCTTATGGGTGGAGTTTCAGCTGCTGTTTCCAAATCTGCTGCTGCTCCAATTGAGCGTGTGAAACTGTTGATCCAAAACCAAGATGAGATGATCAAAACCGGCCGTCTTTCTGAACCATACAAGGGTATTGGAGATTGTTTCTCCAGAACCATTAAGGATGAAGGAGTTATGTCTTTGTGGAGAGGAAACACTGCTAACGTCATTCGTTACTTCCCTACTCAGGTCTGTCATACTCTTTCCTTATCTCAATGATAGTAATAGATAAAACAAATGAGCCCAATATATCCCATCCGGAGGTAGGGTCTTTGGGGGGTGGGTTACCGGGTGAGGTACATGTTTACGTTTCAAAGGGAAGAGAAAAATGGGAGGGAAAAGAAAGGAAAGAAAGGATAGTTTTTTTTTGTGTTCTTGAAACGAAAGGGAGGACAAACAATTTTTCATGTTCTTAAACTCGAGAGAAAGGAAAGGAAAATAGAAGATGTCATTTTTATAAATTTTCCCTTATATCTCGTGTTGTTGTATGAGAGTATTTTTTTCATAAAAGGTCACAGGGACTCCTTTCAGATTTTTTTTCTCTCCTTGAAGGTTTAGATAACACATGTTTTTTTCCCTTCCTAACCCTCCATTTTCTTTCTTTTTCTTAGAAAAGGTTTCAAGAACACAGTGTTAGATTCGTGTTTTTTCTTCTTGAGCTTACAATTCATTACTGCGGTATCCTGCAGGCTCTTAACTTTGCATTCAAGGACTACTTTAAGAGGTTGTTTAACTTTAAGAAAGATCGCGATGGCTACTGGAAGTGGTTTGCTGGAAACCTTGGCTCCGGTGGTGCTGCTGGTGCTTCCTCCCTACTCTTTGTATACTCTTTGGATTATGCTAGAACCCGTTTGGCAAATGATGCCAAGGCTGCAAAGAAGGGAGGAGAAAGACAATTCAATGGCTTAATTGATGTATACAAGAAAACTCTGGCATCAGATGGTGTTGCTGGATTATACCGTGGATTCAACATTTCTTGTGTTGGTATCATTGTTTATCGCGGTTTGTACTTTGGAATGTATGACTCTTTGAAGCCAGTTCTTCTCACTGGATCATTGCAGGTCAGTAAATCATCTTCGATTTGTTTTCTTGTTTCAGCTTGAATTTCCATCTTCATAACTCCTTTCTTGATCACTTCCATAAATGAGTAAATAGGATAGACTCTCTGAAATCAAAATCAGAAGAAAAAAAAACATCTTTGGCTAAATATGAGGTGAAACCATAAGCTAGCTTATTTTTTGATCTTATTGAAAAAACCCTGTTTGTTTAGCCATAAGCTGGGTTATTTTTTGAGCTTATTGAAAAAGCTCTGTTTGGTTTGCCCTAAGATATCGTATTTTTTTAGCTTATTGAAAAAACCCTGTTCAATTAGCTATAAGATAGCTTAGTTTTTGAGCTTATTGAAATAACCCTTCTTGGTTAGCCGTAAGTTGGTTTATTTTTTGAGCTTATTGAAAAAGCCCTGTTTTGTTAGTGTAAGCTAGCTTTTCGACAAGTTTCTGGACTCTACTTTTTTCTCTAGTTGTGCCTATTATATTATTTCAATTTATTTTTCCAACATGTACATTAAGGTCATTTTACTTTTTCATCTGGCTTGTAAGCTAGTTTTTACAAAGCATGACTAGTTTTTAGCTAACAAACAACTTATCGGCTAGTAGTCAAATATAGCATTAGTATTGCCTGGATGGTAGCGCACTGCAATTCTGATGACTAATGGAGATCGTGTTTGTTTATGTGTTGTAATTCAGGATAGTTTTTTCGCTAGTTTTGCTCTTGGTTGGCTTATTACAAACGGTGCTGGTCTTGCATCATACCCAATTGACACGGTGCGTAGAAGAATGATGATGACATCTGGTGAAGCGGTCAAGTACAAGAGCTCGCTCGATGCCTTCTCTCAAATCCTGAAGAACGAGGGTGCCAAATCGTTGTTCAAGGGTGCGGGTGCAAACATTTTGCGTGCTGTGGCTGGTGCTGGTGTTCTTGCTGGTTACGACAAGCTTCAGGTCATTGTTTTCGGCAAGAAGTATGGTTCTGGTGGGGCCTAATCGGATTATATATGTTTTAAGGTATGTTTTTAGTTTTATAGGATGGTGATGAAATCTTTGTGGAGTTTTGATGAGAGTAACAAGCAAATGGAATAATTTTTGAAGCTTAGAAAGGGGATTTTTGAGATATTGTTTTACATTTGTTCGTTTGAAACCTTTGTAAGAGGTTGCTGAAAACTCTTGCCATCTCGTGTGTATTTCTAAGTTTTAATACTGCAAACTATTTTAAATTGAGGACAAGTCAAATCTCGAAGATGAATTGAGGCTATATATTATTAGGGTTAAAATGTAAAACTGTAATTAATTTAAAATAACTAAGGGGCTGTTTACTCAATTGCTTACCGATAGGAGTCAACACTATGATTTATTTTGATGCGCAAGATTTTAGTACACCAAAACATAGTGAATGCAACAATTTACTGGGTAAGAGTCGTCATTCTCACTTACCGGGTAAGACTTTCCATTATTCTCAATGCTCTTATCCGGTAAGATTTTTGGCTTTTCTCATGTTAATTCGATAAGAAAATTTATCCGGTAAGCACTTACCAAATAAGTGCTTAGTAAACGGCTCCTAAATTTGATAAATTCAGGAACACTGCTGTATATGGAAGCTAATTTGGACCGGAAATCAATCTATATGCCTTTCAGGATCCAAAACAAGCGATATGCTGTATTTTTTGTACTTTGTGTTATACATCTTATGCTTAACTTTAGCTTATAAAAATGGCATTGACCTTTATTTTTGTATTACAATAGGATTCATACGAGATATAATTAAATACAGTCAAACCTATGTGATTGTATTCAGATTTCCTTTCACTTTTTAATTACAACTATGATCTAATGACTTTTGTAATGATGATTATAAATAATTAAAAGACTTACTAAAATTTTATAAAAAAATTAAAAGTAGAAAAAATCCTTTCTTATAATATTTATTGCTAAAATAATGATTTATTATATAAGAAGAAGAGTTTTAATTACAAACAACAAACTCTACAGTTCATCTAGTTCTAAAATTACAAATATTTCCCTAATGTTTGTATTCCTTTTGTGAATTTGATCTGTCATTCTAACAACCGTTAAATGACTCTCATTGCATTTTAACCATTTTGTTTTTTTTAATTAATTAGTTTTTATTGTACAAGTGTCTTGAGACAAATATGCAACCACCATCTTCCTCTTAGACCGTCGTGGAAATCAACGCCTAGTTTTAGCTACCCCATCAATACACATTCACCCCTCCCACCTACACCTTCGGCCACCATTATCAGCATCAACTTAGGTTACAACCACCACCGTAATCAACTGCTCCTTTCTTCTGTTGCGACCATCCGACCACCACCATCAACCGGTTTTTGTTGTTCATGTTGCCTTTGTTCTGCAATCGAATCAACTGCAAACATCATGTTATTGGCATCCTAAATTTGTTGGTAGATTCAAATCCCACAAATTATGCAAACATCATGTTCATGATCCCATATATTTTTCAAAATCCCTCCATTGCCACCATGCTTTTCCGCCACCGACATTTTTAGATCTAGGAGAAGTAGCAACATAAGGGTTTTTGGTTACCGTTTTCAATCTACGCTTTTTTGCATCAATTTTTTTGTTCTTGATGTTCTTATACAATTTTGTCCCCTGTAATCACAATAGTTTCTTTGTATGTTTGTGATTTGTTTGTTCTTCAATTAGTGTCATTCACCTTTGACGACAAAATTTGATATTGCTTTCTTCAAGTAAACATAAATAAGAAGGATGTGATAAAATGATCAAAATACTTTCATGTGAATGATACTTAACGGATGTTTTTAACGTGGAAGAACCAAATTTGTAAGAAAATACAAACCAGGGATAAATGATTATAATTTTGAAACTCAAAGGGACAACATCAACCCATTTTGTTAATTAAATAAGAGGTTGTTTGTTTACCTCTTAATAGTTTTATTAAAAGGCAATCTATTAATCGTTAAGAGGTGAATTTTGTTTCGCAAAAAAAAAAGAATGTCTTTTAATGGTTCTAAAACTCTCTGAATGGTTTTATATCATGCGACTCCCTTAACCATTAAAAGTCTAATTTTATTGTAAACAATTACCAAATAATTATATTTCATTTTGTATTATATCACGAGAATTTTTAATCATTCTGACCACTTAATAATTTTATACAAAATCATTCAACAACCGAAAAACAATCCCTAACTTTTAAAGTGGGACCAACTTTTAAGTCAAAGGAACCCTTATCTCCGGTAGTTGACCCGTCTTTAACCACTGGACAAGTAGGCCACGTCTCACCTTTGGTTTCAATGTAGTTGTACTTCTCAAAACCGTTCCGCGAAGCACCTAATCATAACCCTCCCACTCTCTGTTCGCGTGTCTCCTTGCTGTTTTAACAACTCCTGCGAAAAGTCTCAGACAGAGTGATTGCAGAGAGAAGAATAGGAGAAAACTCTACCGACCTATACATACACGTCTTTATATATATATATATATATATATATATATATATATATAGAAAGAGAGAGAGACGGACAAAATAACTCCTTATCGGTTCTCACGGCGGGCCGGAAAATGCAGCGATCAGTGTAGGTAACATCATCGCCATTGAAGGATGGAATTTCATTACGTTTTACTGTTCTGTGATCATTATAACCGATAAGAGTAATCAATTTAATATTTAATTTTCTTATGGATTTTGATCGGTAATTTAATAACTTATAGTGTTCTTGAGATTTGTTTGTTTGCTAAGAAGATGTTTAAATTAAAGTAAACATAAACGCACCAAAATCATGTGGTAAGTTCGGCATGTCTGTTTTTGTTATTATAATGTGTGTCTGATCATTGTGTCAAGTAATTTTTCTTCATGGAGTTTCAGTAACGAATAATCTCTAAAAAATACCTGGAATTACACAGCGGTTGCTACAGATCTTTGTCCGAGCTTAATATGTTTGGTTATGGTAGTAGATTTCAAGGAAAAAAGTTATAGATCTTTGACAATCATGAAGACAGAGTATTCGAGGCGAGGACTGAACTGTTTATAGTCTTTGATTGCATTAGGAAGATATCGCACCGACTGATCAGAGCATTTCAGTTCATATTGGAATACGATACAAGTCAAGTGAAGGCTTTATGGATTTTCTCGAACGTTTTACATACGAGCATGTCAATTTCATATTTTCTGCTGCTACATATCCTCAGGTAAATCTCGTAATGGCTTGTACGTATATATTTTCTATTTCATTTGTAATCAGTTTGGATGATTCTGCTTAATATTTCTACACCTTATGCCAAGAAATATCGTTGAGCTTTGCTTTCTTCTCGAATGTTTCTGGAAAGTAACACAAATGGTCTTCTCATGCCAACTTCGAAAAAACCATGAATCTTACTTTATTTACTTGTCCATGTAGGAGAATGCAAACTCTACAATTAATATGAATGCGTATAAGTTTGGGTATTCTGGACCTATGACATCCTCATACTACGACTACGGTGATGCTTATGCGATTAATGATTGGACGAGGGGGAATAATGAATATACTACGCAATTGAACGTTTCTTCGACCATGGTTAATGAGAGGACAACATCTGAACATACACAAGATGGACAAGCAAGCTTGAGTTTTCATGCTAATCCAGCAGAGTGTGAGCTTTGCTTAATTATGTCTGATATTAATCTGTGTTGTGATATATCACATATAAAGTACTCCGAGGCTAAAACTTTGTACTTGTAACCCAGGTGTGGAGAGTAATCATAATCCTATTCCTGGTGAATATCAGGTTTGAACTTTGACACCACATTTAATTTTGTTTGGAAGGTTACTTGTAACCCAGGTGTAGCGAGTAATCATAATCCAACGTATTACAGGTTGTTGATCCTGATAACATGACTTACGAGGTTTAATTTGTAATTTTGAATTAATTTTATTTGTCTTCTCAACATGGTGTTGCTATGTGTTAGGGAAGTGCTGATTTTACAGAATTGCAGGAATCGGTGGAGTTAGATGAGATTGTTGGAAGTGAAAGCCGTGGTCTATCTCACGAGGCTATTTCCTTGCTCCCCATTTCAAGGTTTAAATGTGGCTTCTTCTTGTGGAGAAAGAAATCAAGAGATGAGAGGTAACATATATTACTAACCCATATTATATACATTTCACTCTATCAACTATTTGGGTAAAAGTTGATTACCTTCCATTCCAACCAGCTTCACACAAAACCCGTCTTTAAGGACACCAATTTAATGGTATTGTTTGGCTCGCTCAACGGTTGAGGCTAGTGGGAGGATCCCGGATCGATGTTTGTACACACGCGAAAGTCTCGCTCCAACTATTATTATTAGTTGTGAGAATGTTGACAAGTATATTCAACTCTTTTGTATCAGTTTACAATATCTTTATCTAACATTAATTGTAATTAGGTAACTAGTTAGTGATTAATCCAACCCTATTTGAGGTTAATGGTTGATTAGTCCTCATATCATATGAGATTTGTGTTGCAGGTGTGTGATCTGTCAGATGGAATATAAAGGAGGTCAGCGCCAGATTACTCTTCCTTGCAAACATAGATATCATGGTGCCTGTGGCAGTCGATGGCTTAGCATCAACAAGGTATATATATAAACACTAGTCAAGTGGAAGGTTCAAGTAGAGTTTTATGCAAAACCAAGGCTTTTTTGGCTTCTTCTTAACCAAAGAGATGAACACTTTTTTAATTTCAATCCCTCAACTTTTTAAACAAATTTCAGTTACATTTTTATGTTTTTTATTCCATCTTTATTATATTTTATGTATACATTTATTATTTTAAATATATAGCTAATTTCTTTATTACTATTATCACCGGTTAATATCTTTCAAATTGATACCAAGATATAGAATATCCTTGTTATTTTAGTTTTGACTTTATTTTAAATTAAAAAAATCATAAATAATTCATTTGGATATAAATAAAATATAAATACAAAATTATTCATTTAAAAACACAAATTACAATAAGTTGATAAAATGAATCATCAAACTAAAATTACTATCTTATGATATAATACCATTTAAAAAATTAAAGCTTTCACAAATGGGCATTTGCCCTAGAGCCATAATGATAAATATAGAAAATATAAATGCACAATAAATCATAAATTGAAAGATGTAAATTATTATGTTACGTGTAATGTTGAACTTGAAGTATAAGATATTTAGATAAACATATGTACATTATATTTGATTGACGAAGAAATGTTGAAACTAGTTGCCTAATGACGCGACACAATTTTAAGCGCTTTTAACTTATTTAATTGTACATGTTTTTTTTACCATTTTAGTTGATTTGATTTTAACATAAAAAATAATGTAAATAACAATATTATTCGGTATTGATATCAACTATATATTTACAATAATCAATTTCATACATAAAATATAATAAGTGTTGTATAATAAATATATAAAAAAAGAAGGGATGTGATTGAAATTTATTTAGAAAGTTGAAGGATTGAAGTTAAAAAGATGTTCAAGACTTTGGGTTTAACGCCTCTATTTTTGTAAAAGAAATTCAAACACCCCTATTTTTACAAAGGAAAGTCAAAAGGCTTTATTTTTACAAAAATTCCATCAAATAAGAAAACTAAATAAGGTGAGAAGTTAAGAAATGAAAGTTTATTTTTGAATACCATATGAATAATTTTTAACATCGTTCAAATATATATCTTCAAATAAATTTTTTTTATGATTCGTATATGAACTTTTCGTTCTTATATTCTTATGAATAATTTATGCCGTTTCTTTAATGGAAATCTATCTATTACATCATTCTCATTATGTTGTTTCATTATCAGGCATGTCCCATTTGTTACAAGGATGTGCATGTTCATATGTCAAAAAACATGAAGAACGGATTTAACAAGACAATGTAAAAAAGGCTAGTGCGTTCTTTGCATTCGCATCTCAAATCAATGTTTTAGTTTTCTTTTTCATACTTGGATTTTATTTCATTGGAATTTTCCTATAGAAAACTAATTAATGACAGGTTGTACATGTAAATGAGGTGTTTAATTAATTTGAACATTTGGTTTCTTGGTGCTAAGACATGAGGGTGGTATCGGAAATAAAATGTGATGTTTTAAGCCCATAATTTTACAAAATCCTACACACAATTCCAGCAAATTTATTTATCCTAAAAGAAAGCAAATATGGAGTTTTCATCTTTATGAAAAGTTAAATATAAATGAGAGGTTTATCCATTATAATACAATTTTTAACATAATTTTAAAGTGTCACGTCATTTTTAGAAATTGTTCTCTGTTACGATGATTTTTAATCAATTCCTTTAGTAATATCTTATCATAAAAAACTATATTTAATCACTTAAGTAAGTAATAATAAAACTACAATTAAATATTATTTACTATAATTTAATACAAAATAATTTATTAAATAGATAATTATTATAAAATAAAATTAATCAAAGAAAAAATGTACTTTAATTTATAAAATCTTTTTAATTCAAAAAAATGTGTTTGTTTATGCTTTAAATTTTTTTAAGTAATTTATAATGTTTTACGGTACTTTCAATTTAATGTCATTTACATCAAAATTGTCAAAAAGAAGAAAATGAAAACACTCTTGAATTAAATTTGTTTTACAATAAAAAATGTAGAATTGTAAGTTTTAGTGGTCTAAGGGTTGTGGTACTATGGTTTGTCGATATTAGATATGACTTGTATTGCAATTTTACAAAATTCTAAGTTAATTTTTAAATAAAATTTTAAAATTTGCAAAAGTTCACACGAATTTTTGTATTAATCATCTACATTTACTTGTATAAAAATGTCTTTGGTCAAATCCTAATCAGGTCATCCCTTGGCAGACATGACTTAGGTTTGCCGCATAGACTTGCCTCGCTTGGTTGTGGCAATTTGGCATGCGAGCTCCAACTCACAACCTATTGGTCCTCTATACGACTTGAACTTCGTACCTTGGGTCAAACCCCCTAGATCCCAGTGATCTAGACTAGCGACTCATGGCATGATAGCCATTTTCTACTTGGGATGTGGACCCGACAATCACAGGTCAATCACTATGGGTTGCATGTAGCATAAGGCAACCAAAAACCAACCCAAAATCTGTACTATTTTTCTGTATCAAACCTCTAAAACTGTATATGATATAATGCCTTACTTTGGCAATTATTTGATGTGTAATCTTTTAAGTTTTTTATATTAAAAAAATTACCTGTTGTTATAATGTATACTTTTTTTTAAATACAATATCTCAATAGAAAATAAACCGAAAGTACATTTTTATAATAAATAAAAAGTTATGGAAATAAATTACTATTTTGTGCGTATAACCTTTGAAAAAATATGCCTATCTATATCTATACTATATTATAAAATATTTGATAAAAACTCTTAAAACCCATATTTTTTTGCATAAAATATTGTTTATTGGTGCATATTACTTAAAATTCAAAATTACAAGTAGATTTTGCTTCAGTACAACTTATTAAAGTTCAATGTTTGAATTTATGTAATTAATTGTAAATAAATATAATCAAATACAAGATAAACATCTCATTTTAAATATAAAAAATATAAAATATAATTAAGAGAACTATTATGTTCTAACAGAATACTTAATTATTATACTTATAAAAAAATTTATATTATTAAACCTAAAATAAATTAATTCATTATTAAAACTAAACTAAATCAAGAAGATTGAATTAAAAATTATCTTTGTAAAAAAATTATATTATTAGACCTAAAACAAATTATTTTGTTATTAAACTTTAAATTAAATTATACTAAAATTTTGAACTAAAAAAATATTTAAAAAATGAGAATTTTTAAATTATTAATTTGATACTAATATCGATAAAAAATTATGGGTCTTGAAATTCATATTTTATTCAATATAAAAACATTATTGTTTTCCCAAAACCATATTATAAAACGAAACATTAAAATTGAGTTGTCTCTCGTTGTATTGCGTGAATAAGCTTCTAGTTATACTATAAAGTATTTGATACAAACTCTTAAAAACTAATTTTAATGCATCAAGTACTGTTATTGATGCATATTACTTAAAAATCAACACAACAAATAAATTGTGCGTAACTACAACTTATTAAAACTCTATGTTTGGATTCGTGTAACTAATTGTAGATATAAAATACAGGATAAACATCACAGTAAAAAATAATTAGGATAATAATTGAGTTTCTAACAAAATACTTAATTATTATCGTTATAAAGAAGTTATATTATTAAACTGAAAATTATTTCTTTACTAAATCTAAATTAAATTATAATAATTTTTTTTAATTAAATGAATTACACAAAAAAAACGAGAACTTTTATTCCCTCGATCGAACGAAAACAACTTCTTGCTTCTTTTTTCTCTTTGGCTTGACTACCCAGCTTGCTTAACATAAGTCTTTTCTCTGAATCGAATCTACGCATATCAAATTCAGTAAAGACTTTCATAGATGTCTTCCTTCAAATATAGTTCATCCTGCTGATGATATTTAGGGGCCGTTTACCAAACGCTTACTTGGATAAGTGAACACCAAGTCACATTATCTTACCGGATGAATATGGTAAGAACCAAGAATCTTACCCGGTAAAAACGAGACAAGAACCAAGAGTCTTATCCGGTAAGTGAAGACGACGACTCTTACCATGGTAAGCGCTTATTGGCTAAATCGTTGCATATGATACCGTTTTGTTGGACTAAAATCTTACTTGGTAAGTAAATGATAGTGTTAAATTTCATTAGTAAGCGTTTACCGAGTAAGTGTTTGGTAAACGGCCCCTTACCACACTAAGGCTAGATCCGGACTAATCCTACAATTGAACATGGTATCGGAACTAGAGATGGCCAAATGGGCCCGGCCCGGCCCGTAACCGACGGAGGACCGGGACCGGGACCGGAGAGGGACCG